GCGGCGTCATCGGGAACAGATCCAATTCGAGAAACCGCTCATCAAACGGGATGCCAGATCCAGTTCTGCCAGATCCAATTCCGCGAATCAGGATGCCCGAGCAAAACCCTAGCCAATATGAAGAAGACAACCCTTTTTTGAGAAGATGAGTTCTTGGGGAAGAAGGAGAAGAAGATTGACGGAAGGAGAAGAAGATTGGCCGAGAAAATCCACTGCCGAATGAGAAGAAGATTGGCCGAGAAAATCCACTGCCGAATGAGAAGAAGATTGGCCGGGAAAATCCACTGCCGAATGAGAAGAAGATTGGCGGAGAATGGGGGTTTGGTTGGACTCTTGAAAATCCACTGGGGTTTGGTTGGATTTGCAAAAGACTTTTTTATTTATACTTCAAGCTAAAAATCCATCACAATCCATTTTATATAACAATCCTAAAAAATCCATCAATTTTTCAATACCATTAGATTTAGAAAGATTTTTTAAAATCTCAATTGAATACCTCTAGATTTTAAATGATTTTTTAAAATCCCAATTGAATACCCACTGACTTTTAAAATCCAAAAAAATCCTGCAGAGTTTGGATTGAATACACCCCCCTAAAGCACAATTAAAAATATTTTTTCACCCACTCTCATGCAATTGTATGATTGGCTAAATATGTGATTTTAATTACATCTATCAATTATTTAAAAAGCCATGGATTTCCATGGGTCTTTTCCCGCCCAATGCTGTTGGCCATTACATAAGGTATGTGCTTATAAAATTGGTAAGTATCAAATGTTTTTATTTTTTGATATGGTATGTGTTAAATGCTACACGAAATTATATTCTAAACTTTCCATTATTATTCTTATTTAATACGTAGTATTAATATTCTTATTTAAAATTTATTAATTTTATTTTTATTTAATAGCATGGCACCGTGCTGCTATTTTAAAATTTTAAAATATATTAGGTAATAAAACTTTGTAATTTTATTATTATTTAATATCATGGCACCATGTTGCTATTTTAAAATTTTAAAATTGGTAAGTATTAAATGCTTTTATTTTTTAATATGGTATGTGTTAAATGCTAAATGTGTATAGAACCGTTTTTACATTTTTAAATCTATATTAATACACGAAAAATATTTCTATTGAAAATTTGTATTACTATTAAATATATATATCAATTATATCAATAATTTACGGAAATTTATAGATAGATTAGGTATTATTGAAAATTAATACACGGTATTTTAAAATTTTAAAATAAAATATGTAATTAGGTAATAGGTAATAATCTATCTATTATTTAAAAAGCTATGGATTTCCATGGGTCTTTTCCCGCCCAATGCTGTTGGCCATTACATAAGGTATGTGCTCATAAAATTGGTAAGTATTAAATGCTTTTATTTTTTGATATGGTATGTGTTAAATGCTACACGAAATTATATTCTAAACTTTCCATTATTATTCTTATTTAATACGTAGTATTAATATTTTTATTTAAAATTTATTAATTTTATTTTTATTAAATAGCATGGCACCGTGCTGCTATTTTAAAATTTTAAAATATATTAGGTAATAAAAATTTGTAATTTTATTATTATTTAATATCATGGCACCATGTTGCTATTTAAAATTTTAAAATTGGTAAATATTAAATGCTTTTATTTTTTGATATGGTATGTGTTAAATGCTAAATGTGTATAGAACCGTTTTTACATTTTTAAATCTATATTAATACACGAAAAATATTGCTATTGAAAATTTGTATTACTATTAAATATATATATCAAATATATCAATAATTTACGGAAATTTATATCAAAGTTGAAGAACTTGAAAAATGGCATCGGTGAAAAGTTCGAATGTTTCCGTTGAACCTTTCGATGGACGTGGTGATTTTACTTTGTGGCAACAACGAGTAAAAAGTGTTCTTACTCGGGAAGGGACAATCAAAGCTCTGAAGGTGAAGGTTCAGAGGACAGAAAAAATGACGGATGCTGAGTGGGCCAAACACCGGAAGAACGACAAACCGGAAAAATTGTCGGAAGAAGAGTGGGAGGATTTGAAGGACATGGCAACAAGTACAATATGCCTATGCCTTGCAAATAATACTCTTCGGGAGGTTCTCGGTTTGAC